CAGGGGCAGGAGCCAGCTCTGAGGGCCCTGCTGTCACCAGGAACTAGGACAGAAGACTGAGTCAGGCATCCAGAGGGAGGCAGCAGGAAGCCAGGGCAGTGGCCTCAGTCAGAGGGAAGATGAGGAGGCAGCGGAAGCCACCCAAAGCCAGCTTAAAAAACCACATGGGTCCAGCTGAGCAAGACCACAAGATTGTTGTGTCTCCACTCTGCAGAGGAGAGGTGAGAGAATGGATCCATGAAAAAAAATAAAAATCCTCACCCTGAGGATTCAGATAATACTAGGTAATGAACACACACTATTGTCAAGAGTTTGCTGTTGTGAATTACCGTTACATGGACAAATCCCTCGTAGCTTTTAATATACTGGGCAATTTCCTCTGAGGATTTCTTACTTTGAAGGAATTCACACCTATAATGAAAAATGTAATTAAAAATTACCCCAATACTGTGACAAAGATTATATCACAATAAATATTTGTGAAATACCCATCAAATTGATGAATTTGATACCTCAATAAAACTGTCAAAAATTTCCTGAAACCTTACTCATGAGGATTAACATCATGCTGTTAGAAAAATTTAAATTTTATCAGTGATAAACTATATCATTATTTAAAATCAAACCTTGCGCTGGTTAGTTATTTTGTCAACTTAACACAAGCTGGAGTCATCTGGGAAGAGGGAGCCACAGTTGAGAAAATGTCTCCACCAGATCAGTCTGTAGGCAAGTCTGTGGGGCATTTTCTTGATTAATGATTGATGTGGGAGGGTCCAGTCCACTGTGGGCAGTGCTCCCCACATAGACCACCACAATAACAAAAACTGATTCTCTGAAGTAAAATCCACTTGCTCTCCCTCCTGTGGTCCTGGTGGGTGGTGACCCAGGCATCTGGTCTCCTTGTCATTTTTTTTAAATCAGAAGATGGCCTTGAACTCCTGATTCTACTGCCACCTCCCTCCTCGAACTGGGGTTACAGTTGTGTGCCACCACTTCCAGTAAGCATCTTCATTTTGTGCAGGTTCCACAGGGTGTGAAACCACCTGTTATTTTGTTGTTGTTGTTTTTGTTTTTCGAGACAGGGTTTTTCTGTGTAGCTTTGGTGCCTGTCCTGGAACTCACTTGTAGACCAGCCTGGCCTCAAACTCACAGAGCTCCACCTGCCTCTGCCTCCCAAGTGCTGGAATTAAAGGCGTGCGCCACCACCGCCCCCAATATTTTAAACATATCATCTTCATTTACTTATACACCATTTCCATCCCTGTTCAGATGAACTCATTTGTTAGTTAAGGTAAATCATGAAATTTTTACTTGACAAGACATTTTGTAGTACTGGGGATAAAAAAAACAAAACAAAACACAATTTAGTGAGGCAGTGTTGGCACACACCTTTAATCCTAGCATTCGGGAGGCAGAGGCAGATGGATCTCTGCGAGTTCAAGGCCATCCTGCTCTACAGCGTGAGTTCCAGGACAGTGAGGACTACACAGACAAACCCTGTCTCCGGGGGAAAAAATCATTTAATAACAGGGAGAGGAGCTGGAGAGTGGGCACTTAATGTATTTGCAGAAGACGGGAATTCAGTGCCCAGCACTCACTTTTGAAACTGAGAAGCTTTTGTAGTGCAAATGACATGGTCAACAAGACAAAACAACAGCCTACAGAATGGGAAAAAATTCTTCACCAACCCCACATCTGACAGAGGGCTGATATCCAGAA